AAATATGTTAAAGAAATTTGATTTTGAAGGAATTGGAATATAATGTTGTCAGATTTGACCACTTGTTTAGTTGGCAAACATTGAAATGAAATCTGTTAAGAAATTGAAATTTGTCTATTTGATTCACAGAATGTAGCTTTGGAATTTGAAAGAAATATTGGTAAATGACCAAAATGCCCTTTTTCGAAAATTTTAATTTTTATAAAACTAAAAATACTTTAATAAAATAATTATTTAATATGTAACACAATATAAAATACACAACTCAAATATAACCATATGCCAAACGATGTTACTAAATCGACATTGGTTCAGATCGGTGGTGGTCCACGGTGGTTTAGATCAGTGGTGGTCGGCAGTGGTTCAGATGGACATGGTTAGCAGTGGTTCAGATGGAGGTGATCAGCGGTGGTTCAGATGGACAACAGTGGTGGTGGTTTAAATTGGTGGTGGTTCAAATCGTTGGTGGTCGGCGGTCTCCGACGGTGATTCAAATCGATGGTAGTCGCCGATGGTCGGCAGTGGTTCAGATCGGTGATGATCCAAAGTGGTTTAGATCAGTGGTGGTCGACAGTGGTTCAGAAGGCAATGGTCAGCATTGGTTCAGATTGATGGTGGTCCGTGATGGTTCATATGTAGGTGGTCAACGGTGGTTCAGATAGGTGGTGGTTCAAATCATTGGTGGTCCGCGGTCTCTGACGGTGATTCAGATTGATGGTAGTCGGCAGTGGTTCAGATCGGTGGTGGTCCGTGGTAGTTCAGGTGGCGGTGATTGGATGTGGTTTAGATCGGTGATGGATTAGATTAGTGGTTGTTCAAATCGGTGATGGTCGGCGGTGGTTCAGATCGGTAATAGTTGGTGAGGGTTCAGATAGATGGTGGTTCGTGGTGGTTCAGATGGCGATGATCAACAGTCGTTCAGATCGACGGTGGATCAGATCAGTGGTGGTTGAGGTCGGTAGTGGTTTAGATGGTGATGGTTGTCGGTGGTTTTTCTTGACGGTGGTCGACGATGGTCATATTTGGTTTTATGAGATTATGGTATATTAGGTTAAGGACATATTTAGTATTATGAAAATATAGAATTTCATTGCATCAAAATATCATGTAGTTGCTAAGGAATGTTAAATTTATTTATTTGTGGAATTTATAGGATTTTAAAGATTTCTTTCCTAAAAAAGAATGAACCAAACAATGGAATAGAATTTGGTCAATAGATTCCAACATTTCAATTCCATCAGATGTATTTAGAATCTGCAAACCAAACGTCCCCTTAGAGAGTTTATTGGAGATGGTATATAGGGTCATATAAATTCATAATTAACTCTTCCAAAAAAATTTATTTAGATAAATAATCTTAAAAAAACTTTTAATTAAATTCATGACCATTATGTTTAAAAAAATGAGTTTATATTTATGGGAAAAATTTAAAAAAACCCAATGGACTTTAGTATTTGAAATGATTAAGTATTTAGACAATTTTTTGAAACAAATAAGTCTTTGAACATTCTAAAACATGTTAAATAACTCATTGGATTTTCTAAAACCTGTTAGATACATCATTATGACTTATACAACTTGTTAATGTGGTAAAATAATGAAAAAAGTCTGGAAAAAAATCAATGAATATTCATATTTTAAACGATTAAGTCTCTAAACATTTTTTGAACCAAAAGAGTACTTAGATCTATAAAATGAAACAAATATATCAAAAAATACTTACATTTACAAAAAATACTTCCTTTTAAAAAAGATTTTTTTTGTCAGTGATTTTTCAAACTAAAAAAAATTAAAAAAAAAGATTTAAAAATGATTACTGATTAAATTTTACTTTAATGAAAAAATAAAATATATTTTGTATGTAATTTTTCAAATTAAAAAAGATTTAAAAAGATTACTAATTA